TTTTGTGGTTTCTTATGAGGGCTGATACAAACATGCTGTCTGTGTGTGTTTTGTATATTCACTTTAATCAAGCTACTTTTGCTTTTGCTTTCTTGAGATTGAACAGGATGCAACTAGTTCAAGTTACAAAGGACATCACCACATGTGATGCATTAACCACAACCTGTATGAATCTGTGCTTTTAACACAGACAATATTATGAAATCATAAGCATAAACATAAAAGATGTTAATGATGAATTAAATCATAAATCATTAATGCTAACACTACTATGGTCATTCTTAACCACCATCTGTGTTTACTACTATGTGACTAGTAAGATACACTCATACACAGAGGCTACCAGAGCAAATATGTAAAGCACAGTGATTATACGTAAGTAAATATTATGCAAAATGCATGATCATAATTGCTAAATTCAGTGATTAACAAATATATTTGTGATCACACACACAAACAAAACACTGTCTATGATCCTAGAGAAAAGTGAGCTCACAGGGTGGTTCTGAAAGTTCACCCTTTAATACTTTGTAACAAAAGGTTCAAGCAAATGAACATATCACAGATTACAGTTTTTATTTACTTTTCTGGAATTTGGATTTTTAGGTAGCTATTGGTGGTAGTACACAGTTGGCATAGTGTGGAGGAGAAGATGAATACTGAAATAGTATTGATGAAATCCTGACCACACTAGTTCCACTAACTTTTTGTTTAAATATCAAAATATGAATGAGAGCCTTAATTTTGAATCACGTAAAAAAAGTGTTCTTCTACCCCAACAACATGTTACTGTATCTTCATTAAATAATGTGATAATGTCTGTTGGTATTTTTGGTTGATTTAGATTTAATTTACTGAGGTAGTTGTTTGAACTTACAAATATGCTTCATCTTAATTAAAATGATTTGCTGTGTAAATATTTGTATTTTTTGAACATTTTTCCTCCTTTTAAGTTTTTCAAATTTAAACATCCATTTTATGGCCAGAAGTATAAAGTCTCAAAAAGTCTGTGGAGGGCTTTTACTTTCAAACAATGCATTCTGGGAAGCCTACTAACATCTCAGTTTAGTTTCTCTAAAAGGTACAAACTGCCTTGTGTTGTTTATTTTTATTTGAAACTGTAACAGCTGATACCATGAGAGCAGACAACCAGGAGCAGTGACAAAGCAAAATTAGCAACACCTGAACAGACATTTACACCTGCTGAGTTGGTTGATTAAAGACAAAACAATAAAAAATAGAGCCTTTCATTTTGATAATAATAAAGATGTAACATACAAGTATTGTACATAGCCAGATATAAAAGCTACCTGTGCTACAACAACCAAAAGTGAGCTGGAGTTTATATTGGAAGTCAATGTTAAGGTTTCCACCCACTGTTATCCTCCTGTCACAGCCTTCAAAAAGGTGTTGAGCTCACACCGTTTTTTTTATTGCTGTGTCAGGTGGTAGAAAAGTAGCACAGTCTAACAAATTGTAATAGAAAAAACTGTGCTAAGGCCCTGAACATACTTAAGAGTACATTTAATTTGTATCAAATTGTAATAGAAACTATACAATATTTAAATTTAAAAAATGAGTAACTACATTAGAAAATATCTGTGATAAAAAGCCAAGCTGCAACTCTGTTTACAAAAAAATGTACAACCCAGTCTAACAGCAAACTGTACAATAGCTAGGCTGGTCTACAACACAAAACGCACTACTCTTACAAATATACAGCTTGAATACTGATGTTGCTATGTTTTTCTTGATCTAAAATTGAAACCAAAAGGGCATTGAAACTATGCTATATGGTTTAGTTTAGGCACTCAATGTTAGACAAAGTTCCCGGGGTACAATTTAAAACACAACAATGGACATTGGAAACTCTCTCTGGTTTTCTGCATGAAAATCAGGTGTTTGTTTGACCCATCCATCCACCACAACCACCACCTTCTAGTGTTTTTAACATTAGAAATTGAAATGTAAGATGACAAATTACAAGGTGTATTTTGGTAAGAATCAGGTTATCATGTGCTTAATCTAATAACACACAATTATAGTCTTATTGAACATTGTGCTGGAGGAATAAATAAGTGAACCCTTACAGTAGGTTTAATAATAGTCCAACTTTTTTGGCAAATGTAAACATAATACCATAAAATCTGGACTATTAAGCGCACCCGACTATAAGCCGCGCCCACTAAATTTAAGAAGAAAAAAAAATTGTACATATATAGGCCGCACTTGTCTATAAGCCGCAGGTATCCACGTTGTAACGAGATATTTACACAGAAAAATGTTACACAGCTTTTGTTGTCTTTTTGGATTGAGTCAGTTCTTCACGCTGCCTTCTCCAACGTCTCACCATCCATTGATGCCAAGCTTACATGCAGCAGCTTTATTTCCTTCTTCGACAGCCAGATCGATTGCCTTTAACTTGAAAGCTGCATCATATGCATTTCTTCGTGCATTTTCCATGATGAGGGTGTGTGCATGAAGTGCAAAATGACTGATCTGAAGAATTTAGTGTGAGTGCATTTGATTTAATTCGAACAGTTTCATTGGTCCACTGTGAACTGTTTGGTAATTTCATTGGTCTGATTTGATGAGGCTAAATGTATTGGCAACATGAAGCTCGTTAGCCCGTAAAATTCCATAAATTAGCCGCATCGTTGTTTAAGCCGCCGGGTTCAAAGCTTGTGAAAAAAGTAGCGGCTTATAGTCCGGATTTTACGGTACTTAAATGTAATGCATACATTACAGTTTTCATTCCACATTTAATTTTCTGAGTTTGTTGTGTGTATTTGTATACACATTCATGTGTTCACACATTCATGTGCATGACTATGTGGTATTAGTTTAAAGAACTGTTGAGACACTATCAAAAACATTAATGGAAGACAAACCTTCTATGGACAGAGAATGCAGATGACTGGGAGAGAGTCACTTTTGATTGATCATGTGATACCCACAAAATGAGTTACATCTGTGTTACTTTATATTACATCGAGCAAGTAGTAGCTGACTGAGTGTTTTACACATCTGTATGGGACAGTACATTATACTAGCTTTGCTTAAATACAGTCTGGATGAGTTTTTAGATCAATGCCTTTATGGGTATCTGTTAAACTAGATCCTTTAGCAACACCCTTTACCTGTGCATGCTTCTTGCAATTGTATTTGCATTGTCAAATCACTCTCTTACTGTCAACTGTTTGACTGAATACAACAATTATAGGCCCTGCTTTCATGAAAGTGGACAGAAATAAACATACAAACCCCATTTCCAGAAAAGTTGGGGCATTTTCCAAAATGCAATAATAACTGAAATCCATGATTTGTTAATTCACTTGAACCTTTAACTGACAAAATTGCAAATAAAAGATATTCAGTGTTTTCACTGACCAGTTTAATTGCATTTTGTAAATACAAACAAGTTAAAGCTTATAGATTATTCCAGTAACACCGTTCCAAAATTTGCATGTTAATTGGTAAAATGTGTGGGTAACATGGGTACGAGTTAGGGGAAATGGAAAATAAGGCATTTAGAAAATTGAAAACAGACATTTTTTTTATATTTTGTATTTGGAAAATTTTCATTTTTCTGTCTTCGTTTTTTGTGTGAATTTTGGGTAAAATAATCCTCCATAAAGTTTGAGTAGGGAGCAGTCGTATGCTTCAGATCATGTTCAAATATTTTTGACCGTCCTCTGTCCTTAGAACAACTCCTTGTAAGGTTATAACATTCATTACTTGAGTCCTCATTGGTCAGAAGATTGTGTGGTTTCTTATGTGATCTGAGACATACATGTTGTGTGTGTGCTTCTCTCAGTTGGATGGGTGTGTGTGTTTTGTACATTCACTTCCTCCCTCAAGCTACTTTTACTTTTGCTTTCTTGAGTTTAAACAGGATGAACTGGTTCAAGCTGCACAGGAAGTCACCACACCTGTGTCACATTAACCACAACCTGTATGAATCTGAGCAAGAGATTAAGTACTTTTAACACAGACAATATTATGAAACCATAAGCAGAAACATGAAATGGAAACATGAAAGATGTTAATCATAAATCATTAATGCAAACACTACTATGATCATTCTTAACCATCTGTGTTTCTACTATGTGACTAAGTAAGATCGACTCATCAGTAAAAGTCAAAAGATAATGATCACACATTAACAGACAATTCACATTTCCTCTCACTCAGTGTAATATAGTACCTTAAGCTTGATGTTGGTCTGCAACACAAATCTTTAAAATATTCACAAAGAATTATAGGCTAGCAGAGTAAATTTGTAAAGCACAGTGATTATAGAGAAGTAAATATTATGCAAAAATACATGACATGACAAACTGTACAATAGCTATGTTGGTCTGCAACACAAAACATACTACTCTCACAATAACACCTTGAAAACTATGATGTTGCTATGTTTTTCTTGATCTAAAATTGAAGCCAAAAGGACATTGAAACTATGCTATATAGTTACGTTTAGGCACTCAAGGTTAGAAAAAGGCCCTGGGGTCAGTTGAAACACTGTAAAACACACAAAACACTTGAAACACAACAGTGGACATGGGACACTATCTCTGGTTCTCTGCATGAAAGTCAGGTGTTCGTTTGAAGAAAAAAGGGGCTAAAGACTTTAGATATTATCAGTCCACAGTTAGACATACTGCCTATAAATGGAGATGATTTGGTACTATGGTTATTCTCCATTGAAGCAAATGCCCAGCCAAGATCACCCCAAATGCACAATGTAGAATGCTCAGTGAGGTAAAAAAAAAAAAATTGGAGTGTGTTAACATCTCTGCTCATGAGTCAACCATATGCAAAATGGCATGACACCACAGAGCTCTTCAAAATCATTGCAGCATGCCTGAAGTTTGCCAAACGACTACCTTGACTGTCCACATCATTACTGGGAAAACATCCTGTGGACAGTTGAAATGAGCCCAGACCTCAACCCAGTAGAGATTCTGTGGAGTGAACTCAAGAGAGCCGTTCACACCAGATGTCCTACAAATATGACTGAGCTGAAGTAGTTCTGTAAGGAAGACTGGTCCAAAATTTCTCCTGAACATTGGGTAAAGTCTAATCCACAGCTACAGGAAGTGCTTACTTCAGGTTATTGTTGCCAAAGGTGGTTCAACCAGTTATTAAAACTGCTGCCTTTGCTTTTTCCACCATCATTGTGTATAATTAATGGGTGTGTTCAATAAAGACATGAGAGATCATGATTGTTTTTGATTTATCAGCTTAGGAATATTTTGGTTGTTGATATTTATGACTTTGGTGAGGATCAGATCACATTTCATGACCAATTTATACAGAAAACCTGGAAATTGCCACTACTGAGCTAAAATTAAGCTTGGCACACTATTCATAAGCATATGTTTGAATGCAGCTAAAGCCCCTATTTGTAGAATGTTTGTGATAACATTATAAACATTTTTATTGTTTGTTCAAAGATCAGTCACGCCTAAGAAAAATTGATGTGAGTTTATGTGCAGCACTGAGCCCTTTCATTGCAGGGTTCTTAGGTTAGTTCTCTGGGTGTAACCATTGAATTGTGTCACAGTGTCCTTTTTGGTACAGTACCACCACTACAGATGCTGCTGGGGAATACTTTTTCGAATCCTACATATAGGGACTTTAACATTATATTGCATTAATGTAGCAAATAATGAAAAAAGACATAATAAAAACTTTGTTTTCAGGTTGCTAGCAATACAAACAGCAAAAATTGTTTATTCCTGCAATAAGCAGGAGTTTTTTTCATCCTTTATTGGTAGTCAGAAAACTTAGTTTAAGGTTATCCAGCTTGGTGATAGATGTGATTTAACTTAAATGTAAGTTTGTCATTTGTATGTTATTATATTATCCATTACTACACACTGATTACACATATGTTTAATTGATTTCATTAATAAAATATTTTACTTGGAAATCCAAAACATTCCCAATTTATTATCAAGTTCCGAAATCAGACATGGACTTTTTAAAATGCTGGTGCATGGTATATTTAAAAAAAAAAAACAAAAGCATCTTTTTTTTTTTAAGAGGAAAAGCGTTACTGCACTTGCTCAACAGAATAATGTGAAAAGAATTTTCTACTGAGTGGTGACTTCAATGAGTAAATTTATTTTATATGTAATTTTTATTTGACTTGAGTTTAGTTAACTTTGGTTTACATTCATTCCCTATCTTGTTATTCCAGCTCACTCTCATCCCCAAATGAAGGGATAAATGAGATGATGCTTTTGATCTCATCCAGGACTCCCTGCAAGTTGTCTGCTGCCTCCCTGACTGACTTGACAAATTTCATGAGGTCTGATTTGACTCTAGACTCTTCACTCACTAGTGGAGCATTGTCAGAGGTGCGGACAAAACCTTCAGTTTCATTCTCAGACACTGGCTGAGAAGTAGTTCTCTCCTCTGCTGCCTTTGCCTGTGTCTCAGACCGAGGCTGAGAAGTAGTTCTCTCCTCTGCTGCCTTTGCCTGTCTAATGTGGTGTATCTCTTTAGCATCCATGGCAATGAAGAAGAGGTCTACTGCTATAAATAAACCTGAAAGCACACCTGTGACTGCCTCTGCCACACGTACCACTCTGCTTGCCTGTGCTGCGATCTTGCCAATGTTAACTACTTGAACTAGTCGAATCAGTTCAGGAATCACACCTAGGCCCCTCCCTGCCCTGAGGCCAAGCCGTGTCAGGTTCTCATCACTGAAACTGCTATCCATAGTGCCAGGTACATCAGCTGTCTGAAATCGGTTTCTGATTGCCTGTAAGCTGTTGCAAATCTCCTGGAGCCAGGTGACTACTGCATTAATTTTCTCTTCAAACTCTTTAATGATGCTTCGAACAGCTTTGCGATCAGAGGACTGGTTCACCATGTTTGTGATATTCGAGGCACCAGCAGTGACACCACCAAGTGTACTCACACCCACACCAGCTCCAGGCTGATGTACACACTCCAGATCATCAGCCACAGTCCTTAGCTTTTTCAACTTGTCCTGGAGTTCCTTCACAGTTGTTTTGCTCTGTTGAAAAGGCAAAGACATTATCAGGTGTGGTTACAGATGCCATAAAGTGCCCCATAATGCTGGGTATAATTCGATGTGAAACACCGCTGTTCAGTTTGGTGGAAAGTTACTCTTTAAAGTTACACTTGCTCAAGGGCACACAAATCCTATTAAGAAGCTACTGTACATGTCTAGTCAGAAGTATAGTTTTTCCAACATTACCTGGGTAAGAAGGGTTTATTTGTAATAAGACTGGAATAGGGCAGCATGATTCTTGTCAAAATGAGAAGAATGTTTTCCAGTCAGATGTGAGATCTCGATTTTCTCAGTGGTGCCATTTTTTAAATAGAATTACCTCTTCGTGGTTCTTGGCCTTCACTAACCAGTCAAATGCATGGGTAGGGGACAGAAGTGAGGTCATTGACCTTTGACCACCACAATCAAATAATTTTCTTCTTGCGTCTAAGTGGACATTTGTGCTAAGTTCGAAGAAATTACTTAAAGGCATTGCCGAAATATCATGTTTAAAACAGCGGGACGGATCTGAGGGCTCTGTGACCTTTGACCATCAAAATCTAATCAATTCATCCTTGAGTCCAAGTGGACACATGCCAAATTAGAAGTAATTCCCTCAAGGTGTTCCTGATATCGGTGCATTTACAAGAATCATACAGATGAGCATACAACCCAAAAAGATAATGCCTTCGGCCTTGGCTATCGCAGGTGTGGAGGCATAAAAAAATGTGTTGCAATCCATATTCTCTTTATGTAGAAAGAACAAATAATATCCAATTATTAAAAGACACATTGCTTTTTTTCTATTGATATGCAGCTGGATGAAATGTTGAGATCTACTGTGGAGCCCCAAAAATGACAAAATGTAGTAAATGGTGTGTAAAAATAAATGTGAAGCTTTAAACTTTTGCTTTTATCATTCTATTTTTAACCCCTTCATTTTTCTATTTTCTACTCTTATTGCAAGTTTAATCATTTGCTAATGTTGTTATGACCACAAGGTGAGACGATACACAATATGGGGTTCACAAGAATGAGATGAGAAAATATTTTAACACTACTATTGAGAAATCTTCAATGATGAAATATATAACTGGAAAAATATTATTTTATTTGACTGAAAGTCACAAAATGCAAAACAATGCAGGTGCATTTTGAAATATTTTAACTAATTATCTTGTAATGACTGTCACTTCAGTTCTGCTTTCTGAGTATGAATTATGACATGCAATAAAACCAACAATATGCAAGCACTGTAAACGGCTTTGCCACAAACTCATTTGGCTGGCTTCTCTCCTGTATGATTTCACACGAGTCTCTTCAGACCTTATAAACTGTGCATGAACTATGTATGCATTCTAATTTCTAATTGAAGCTGTGTGTGATTGTGTATGCTATTTTCACCCTCACCACACCTCACCAGACAGTGACATCATCCAGCAATGGTGCTGCCTTGACCAATCATGTACGGGGGATGATTGTGACGTGGACGTCCATGGGAAGACGACTTTTGTTTACCTTGTGAGCATGAGCATTCACTGCTATTCACTGTCGAATTTGGGCCACGATTAACAAACTTGTTACGTCCACATCTCAGGCCGGCACCTCGGCAGCTGATACCGGGGCTACCGGTGACTCCACCCCTACTCACGTAGGAGCACGCTCCCGGTGGTGAGGCACACCTACGCTCAATTAGCAGAAACATACTTAAGCACAGCGCTGGTGTGTCCTCGTCGCCAGATTATCTCTCAGTCTTCTGCTGGCGACTTCGCGTGTTTCACGTCCTGGATCCTAATGTCCACTGATATCGACCTACTCTGGTATATTGCTGTTATCCACTGTGTCGACCTGAGTGAGTTTCTCTGTCTTGTTTACGTTTTTTCTGAACTGATTACCGAGGAGTATTTTCTGTTTTTTCTGAACTAATTACTGAGGAGATCTTCTGTTTTTTTCTGAAATAGTTACCGAGGAGTATCTTCTGTTATTTTGAACTGACTAATGAGGAGTGTCTTATGTTTTTTCTAAAATGATTATGGAGGAGTGCTTTGTTTTCTTTTTGAACTGTTGCCTGGTGCCACCTATATCTCCGTGGGCCTTGCTGCCTATCAACGATCGTTGTTTGGGGTCTGTTATATCTTGAGGTGAAACAAACTCCAGCACGCTTGTGTGTTTCAACTCTTTACTGAGTAACTGCACAACGGTACACCGTGAACACTCGTGTGACAAACAGACAGCCCAGAGCCCTCGGAAACAGTGCCCCGAAAACATGATCCTAACTAAGGTTCCTAGCTCCCAATTCAACAGCCTCAAACTATAACACCTCTCCCCCTTTAAGTTCCAACTTGAGGGCGGAAAACTCTAGAAAACAGTATCTCCACAGGGGTACTGACTATTCCAATAAACCACATGCTATGAACCTGAACATTTTTTTTTTAACTTACAGACTACCCCCCTTTTAAAAGGTGTAGTGCTCACCACCCGCACATGTCTTTTACCCATCAACAGGTCAGTCTTTTTGGAGGCCTGCGCCTTCTTGTTGACCTTCTCACCTCCGCTGTACCCCC